AACCCTCCCCATCTAGTGTCCCATCGCTGGCCATTGGACATATTTGCTAATAGCAGACATGGATGGATGGGCCATCTGCCACAGTAGCAATCTCACCATACCATCCCCTTCATATCAAGCTGAATCTTGAAACAAATTAGTTTTTTTATCCCGAGTACTCCCCTGGGAAGGCTGTTCTAGAACTTCATTCCTCTGATAGCTAGAAACCTTCATCTAATTTCAAGCCTAAACTTGTTGATGGCCAGTTTATAGCCATTTGTTCTTGTGCCAGCACTGATCCTTAACTTAAGTACCTCCTCTCCCTCCCTGGTGTTTCTCCTTCTGATATATTTGTAGAGAGCAGTCCTATCTCCCCTCAGCCTTCATTTTGTTAGGCTAGACAAGCTAAGCTCCTTAAGTCTCCTTTCATAAGGCAGGTTCTCCATTTCTCTGATTATCCCAGTAGCCCAATTAGTTCCCTCTCTATTCCTATGCTTCCTCTTCTTCTGAGCATGGACTTTGGAGGGATCCCAAGGACACTCAGATCCACCAGAATTCTCAGTAACTCAACTCAAGTGAATAATCAAAAATCTCACTTCCGGTTCAAAATCTTGGAACATCTCATATTGTTCCCTGCTGGATCTGAGGACTTAGGCTTACTCCAGAAGATCCTTTTGGCATTGTGTAACTAACACCCAGAGCACCTCCCACCCCAATAGAAAAATTCTACTCAGTTCCGAGATCCACCAAGGCCTCCTTCATAAAGAAGGTTTTAAAGCTGTGGTCTGTTCTCACTCAGGTCTTGATGAGAAAGATACAGGGCAGTACACTCTGTGATGAGTGCTCTCTTCTTTCCAAACACTTAAGGTTTGGGAATGATGGTACAAAATTAAAATCACTGCAGAGCAAAAAAAAAACACCTAAAAAAACCTTTAGGGGCAGTCATACAGGATTTTACGATATCAAGGTACCTGTTCCAGAAAATCTGTGGGGCAGAATAAAAAGCAAAGCCCTCTCCAATAAGATCACATATGACATAGTCAATGACTGCTACTATCTAATCATACTCCTTTAGTCATGCAGAAGGGAGAATTCTAGCTGATTGAGTGAATAGCTGAAGTGACAGGAGCTGAATTCAGGATAGTGTCTTGTGAGCTTTACTAGTGTGATTAAAATGGGTGCCCTGTGTCTGTAGTCTGCCTACAGAAATTTAATCCTGGAAGCAAGATCTAAAAGGAGCTAATGCACAGATTTTAGTTACAATGTTAGGACTGACGATCCCAGTTGCTTCTAAGTCTGAGCATGTATTGTGTGAACAGCACTAGGAAGTGCTGAAGACGAGGAGACTTTTGTTCAGATTGTAAAAGACAACACCGTAACTTCTCCTCTAACTTAGCCAGCTCAATGGAAGAGTCAGAGATCCAATTTCTTATCCATAGAGTTAGCAGAAACCAGCTGTAATTGTTCTGAATACAAGGCAAGAGAAATTAAGAGTGATGCGGCTAGTATTTATGAGGACTGTTTAACTCTACTATCAGTGTGATGTAATGTGTATGTGCATGTCACTTACACTGGTCTACAATTTTTGAGAAGTTGTCT